CTCTAGCTAAAATACTTACATTTAGAGTAAATCATGTTGATGTTGTTAATTTACAAGTAGCATTTTTACACATGCTGCTATGGCAAACGATTAACTTTGTTTTTTGTTTAATAAGATAAAGGTTGTTAATAAAAAGTAATTGGAATTTAATTTATTTTTATAACATTGATAAAGGTGCAGTTAGAATGGAATGATTTGGGTTTAATTTAATGCAATAAATTATGGTTATTTTTTAATGTTTTTAAATAAAAGTGATATATTGGCTTTTTTAAAGGAGTTAATGTTTTATTAAAATATTAATATGAAAATTCTACAGTCGATTTGCCATTCTAAGAAAATTTTCTTGTTAATAGGAAAATATGATAATATTTCCATGATATTTAATAACAAAATCAACTAGACGTATGATTAATATTAATTTATACAATTTCTATAGAAAAACTTGCTTTTACTCTGATTTCCAAAGGAAACTTAATACAATATTGATAAATATCAAACAAATTACATGCTTAGATTGTAATTTATTACAGCAAACACAATCAGCTTTTGATGGCTATTACAATTTTTCTCATTTTGGCTAAAACTCCTTTGGTCAATGTTTTCTCTACCTTTATGTTCAATGATCACAATCAATTTTATGCCTTTTTGTAAAAAAGTTTGAGTGTGATGTTGATGATAATGACAAAAGAAAACCAATAATATTACGATAAATATCTGGCATGTCACAGAAAACTATTTTTCCAGCTGATTACCTGGGAAAAATATATTTGATAGATAGTTTAATATAGAAAGGACACTTATACATGTGATAAAAAGGCAACAAATAAACAAAACTTAACCAACTCAAGACTTTCAAAATACTCTATAACACTTCACATCAAACAAGACAAAGTGTTTCTATGTGGCAAATTTAGCTCATATACTGCTGTCTGTAGCGTTAATATAAAAATCTCTGCAAAATTTATACACATATTACTTAGGTGACACCTGTAAAAAGTCTCAAAACCAGACCATGTTTCTTATACCTTTATACCGTATGTTTGTATGTGATTTCTTTTAATATTGCATGATTGCCTTTAATATCAATAATCTAAATTTCATATTATCAAGAAGAAAAAAATCGACTTTCTTAAGGTAGCCTTTTCTTAACGCTTCAATGAACCAAGAAATACCTGAAAAAAGCAAATGGTCAAGAAAATATTTGTATCAAAGTAAAAAGAAGAGTTAAACGCCCCTCTTGGTCTGGAAAGGTTTAAATTAAAATATAACGAATAAAGTTTTAAAATTGAATTTTTAATATTAGATCAAATAGATTCCTACTATAGACTAAATAAAGTAGAAAAAACTGGAAACAGATTAGATAACAGTTTAGATAATAGACTAGACTGTAGTCTAGTGTATAGTCTATACATAGTTTAGGCTATAGTTTAGTCTATAGTTTAGGCTATAGTCTAGTCTATAGTCTAGTCTATATTCAAGTCTATAATTTAGTCAATGGTTTATCTATAGTCTAATCTATAGTCTAGTCTATAGTCCAGTCTATAGTGTAGTCTACAGTCTAGTCTATAGTCTAGCCTATAGTCTAGTCTATAGTCTAGCCTATAGTCTAGTCTATAGTCTAGTCTATAGTCTAGCCTATAGTCTAGTCTATAGTCTAGTAGTCTATAGTCTAGTCTATAGTCTAGTCTATAGTCTAGTCTATAGTCTAGTCTATAGTCTAGTCTATAGTCTAGTCTATAGTATAGTCTATAGTCTGTATAGTCTAGTCTATAGTCTAGTCTATAGTCTAGTCTATAGTCTAGTCTATAGTCTAGTCTATAGTCTAGTCTATAGTCTAGTCTATAGTCTAGTCTATAGTCTAGTCTATAGTCTAGTCTATAGTCTAGTCTATAGTCTAGTCTATAGTCTAGTCTATAGTCTAGTCTATAGTCTAGTCTATAGTCTAGTCTATAGTCTAGTCTATAGTCTAGTCTATAGTCTAGTCTATAGTCTAGTCTATAGTCTAGTCTATAGTCTAGTCTATAGTTCTAGTCTATAGTCTAGTCTATAGTCTAGTCTATAGTCTAGTCTATAGTCTAGTCTATAGTCTAGTCTATAGTCTAGTCTATAGTCTAGTCTATTAGTCTAGTCTAGTTCTAGTCTAGTCTATAGTCTAGTCTATAGTCTAGTCTATAGTCTAGTCTATAGTCTAGTATAGTCTAGTCTAGTCTAGTCTATAGTCTAGTCTATAGTCTAGTCTATAGTCTAGTCTATAGTCTAGTCTATAGTAGTCTATAGTCTAGTCTATAGTCTAGTCTATAGTCTAGTCTATAGTCTAGTCTATAGTCTAGTCTATAGTCTAGTCTATAGTCTAGTCTATAGTCTAGTCTATAGTCTAGTCCAGCGGTTCCACCGTTTTTTACTTCGCGGACCCCTTGAGGAATTTATTTAATTTCACGGACCCCCATACATATTTTGATATCTTATTGTTATAAATAATTGTTCATCCGAAAATTGTCTTAGTCCTGGTCCATAAACCCTATAAATTATTCATGTTCATTTCTCGTCACGGTAGCGAAAGGTTCCTTTATCAAGTATTGCCGACATGGCTTAAAGAGTCATGTTTCTAATTTTTTTGCGAATGCATAGGAGTGAGCTGAGTATGTAAGCTAAGTTTTCGGGAAAATATGTGAAAGTTAGACTTCTTCGATGATGTTTCGGAATAAAATATTATGAAATGTAACCTAACTTCATATTCCGGGATACCAGTATCAGTATTTAATTCTAAGGAAATCATTATCCGTCTGATATAAAAACATTTATTTCGATACATATACATTTATAAAAATTACAAATCACGTAATACTTCACTTTAAAAAGGGGAAAAATAAATTTGTAGGGCCTAGCTTCATCCTGATAAACGACCGAAACAATAAAATTCAAAAAGTCCCCAACAAATCTGGGATTATTGAATAAAAATTGTGTATTTTAGTATTTATGAAAAATTTGGAGATATTTTTAATATTTTCTAACATATAGAGAATATTTTTTATTCATGATTTTTTTCGTTCGTCTTCGCGGACCCCCTAGGATTTTGCTACGGACCACTAGGGGTGCGCGGACCCCCTTTTGGGAACCGTTGGTCTAGTCTATAGTCTAGTCTATAGTCTAGTCTATAGTCTAGTCTATAGTCTAGTCTATAGTCTAGTCTATAGTCTAGTCTATAGTCTAGTCTATAGTCTAGTCTATAGTCTAGTCTATAGTCTAGTCTTAGTCTAGTCTATAGTCTAGTCTATAGTCTAGTCTATAGTCTAGTCTATAGTTAGTCTATAGTCTAGTCTATAGTTAGTCTTAGTCTAGTCTATAGTCTAGTCTATAGTCTAGTCTATATAGTCCTAGTCTATAGTCTAGTCTATAGTCTAGTCTATAGTCTAGTCTATAGTCTAGTCTATAGTCTAGTCTATAGTCTAGTCTATAGTCTAGTCTATAGTCTAGTCTATAGTCTAGCTATAGTCTAGTCTATAGTCTAGTCTATAGTTCTAGTCTATAGTCTAGTCTATAGTCTAGTCTATAGTCTAGTCTATAGTCTAGTCTATAGTCTAGTCTATAGTCTAGTCTATAGTCTAGTCTATAGTCTAGTCTATAGTCTAGTCTATAGTCTAGTCTATAGTCTAGTCTATAGTCTAGTCTATAGTCTAGTTATAGTCTAGTCTATAGTCTAGTCTATAGTCTAGTCTATAGTCTAGTCTATAGTCTAGTCTATCTAGTCTATAGTCTAGTCTATAGTCTAGTCTATAGTCTAGTCTATAGTCTAGTCTATAGTCTAGTCTATAGTCTATCTATAGTCTAGTCTATAGTCTAGTCTATAGTCTAGTCTATAGTCTAGTCTATAGTCTAGTCTATAGTCTAGTCTATAGTCTAGTCTATAGTCTAGTCTATAGTCTAGTCTATAGTCTAGTCTATAGTCTAGTCTATAGTCTAGTCTATAGTCTAGTCTATAGTCTAGTCTATAGTCTAGTCTATAGTCTAGTCTATAGTCTAGTCTATAGTCTAGTCTATAGTCTAGTCTATAGTCTAGTCTATAGTCTAGTCTATAGTCTAGTCTATAGTCTAGTCTATAGTCTAGTCTATAGTCTAGTCTATAGTCTAGTCTATAGTCTAGTCTATAGTCTAGTCTATAGTCTAGTCTATAGTCTAGTCTATAGTCTAGTCTATAGTCTAGTCTAGTCTATAGTCTAGTCTATAGTCTAGTCTATAGTCTAGTCTATAGTCTAGTCTATAGTCTAGTCTATAGTCTAGTCTATAGTCTAGTCTATAGTCTAGTCTATAGTCTAGTCTATAGTCTAGTCTATAGTCTAGTCTATAGTCTAGTCTATAGTCTAGTCTATAGTCTAGTCTATAGTCTAGTCTATAGTCTAGTCTATAGTCTAGTCTATAGTCTAGTCTATAGTCTAGTCTATAGTCTAGTCTATAGTCTAGTCTATAGTCTAGTCTATAGTCTAGTCTATAGTCTAGTCTATAGTCTAGTCTATAGTCTAGTCTATAGTCTAGTCTATAGTCTAGTCTATAGTCTAGTCTATAGTCTAGTCTATAGTCTAGTCTATAGTCTAGTCTATAGTCTAGTCTATAGTCTAGTCTATAGTCTAGTCTATAGTCTAGTCTATAGTCTAGTCTATAGTCTAGTCTATAGTCTAGTCTAGTCTATAGTCTAGTCTATAGTCTAGTCTATAGTCTAGTCTATAGTCTAGTCTATAGTCTAGTCTATAGTCTAGTCTATAGTCTAGTCTATAGTCTAGTCTAGTCTATAGTCTAGTCTAGTCTATAGTCTAGTCTATAGTCTAGTCTAGTCTATAGTCTAGTCTATAGTCTAGTCTATAGTCTAGTCTATAGTCTAGTCTATAGTCTAGTCTATAGTCTAGTCTATAGTCTAGTCTGTAGTCTAGTGTACAGTCTATTCTATAGTCTTATCTACTTCAATAAACATATAATTTGATCTTTAGGAATAACTGAACACATTTTAATTTGTTTAAACATTTCCATTTATTCAACACTTTTTATAGTCTTCTCTCTCCCAATAAATATTTTCCAACAATTTCGTGCTGGGCATATCACAACGGCACGAATCATTGGTACGCTTTTCAATCCAATCCAAATAACGTGTAACCCTTGTATATACGCCCGGTTTGTTAGGTCTAGCGCAACCTTCACCCCATGATACTATACCAGCCAAATGATAAATATTCAAATCTTTATTATGCACTTGAAACGGACCACCACTGTCGCCTTGACAAGAATCCTTATTGCCTTCCGGTACACCAGCGCACATCATATTTTCGGTTATACGATCTTCACCATATTTTTCATTACACTCTTCATTGGATATAATTGGGACACTGACTTGCTAGAAGTAAATATGGATTAAGTAATAAGTAGGTTTTTGTTTTAAAATAGTAGAAATATAACTTATTTACCATTAATTTTTGAGCCAAGGGTCCGCCCTCGGAGGTGGCGCCCCATCCACTAGCTATGCCAATTTCATCCAGATAAGTTTGATCTTTTAAAGGCATACACACCGGTCTTAAAACATTTGACATTTCGACCGGTTCTGACAGATGTATTAGACCAATGTCATTGTCAATATTAAATGGATTGTAACGTTCATGTATGAGAACTCGTTTTGCCTTTCTAGTAATTTCTCGGGAAGAATTAGACTTACGATCATGTACCAATAAACTAACCGAGATAGAATTAGGTCTAAAACCTCTCAAACAATGAGCTGCAGTGGCCACATAGCGATCTGAAACTAATGAGCCACCACAGTAAAAACGATTGTTATTTTTCAGCAAAGCCATCCACGGGTAGCGTATCTCTTGTGTCTCCTCTCCACAAACTATACGATTAATAACATTGGCCGTACCACACGAACAAGGCATGCACTGTTTTGTCTCTGTCAAGGGTGGTTTAATGGTAGTGACCTGTGTTATGGGATTAAATTGAAATATTGATATCAACCATTCTATGAAATTATTTTGACGAGCTTGAGATTTCTCCAGATAGTGGGTATAACTTAAACTTGCACTACATACTATTATGGTGATTATGATATGAAATTGTTTAGCAATTTTCATTTTATGCGTTTACTTTGTCAATGTTTTAATGTTTCACGTTTCACTGTTTTTGGTCAACTAACTGTGTGGCTAAAAAGAAATGTTTATCTTCCTAACTTTATCTTTGTTATACCCTCCACCACCATCAGTGGTGATAGAGGGTATATATAACTTTGTCATTCCGTGTGTAACACCAAGAAATATTCATCTGAGACCCAACAAAGTATATATATTCTGGGTCCTTATGAAATTCTGAGTCGATTTACCTATGTCCGTCTGTCCGTCCGTCCGTCCGTCTGTCTGTCTGTCTGTCTGTCTGTCTGTCTGTGTAAAACACGCTCACGTTAAAACGAAGCAATATAATTTAACCAAATTCACCCAAAATATTCATTATTATCCGGTACAGTTTGGTATTGAAAATGAGCAATATCGGTTCACATCGGGAAAAGTTATGAATCAAAATTTAAAACAACCTCGAAAAAAATAAGCATTTTTTTCACATTCTAATGTAATTTTCTCCAAAACTATGCAAGATAATTCCATGAAAATCACCATACATTCGTTTCTACACAAGATCTTGATCCGTGTAGAAAATTGCCAGAATCGGTCCACAATTTCATATACCTCCCATACAAAAGTACATATTCCCGGAAAATGGGCTTTTCGTTAATAACTTCCATCACAATGTCGATATCTTCACAAAATTTTACAAATTGAAATCTTATGTCAATAGAATTCTTTCAGAGAAAAATTTTCTGGATCGGTCCATAATTGGACATAGCTCCCATACAAGGTCCCCTCCCGAAAATCACTTAAACGCGCATAACTCATTACTAAATTAAGATATCCATACAAAATTTGGTATAAGTATTGCCCATATGCATAGAAATATTACTGTGAAAGTTTTTTCCGATCGGTCCATAATTGGTCATAGCTCCCATACAAGGTCCCCTCCCGAAAATCACATAAACGCGCATAACTCATTACTAAATTAAGATATCCATACAAAATTTGGTATAAGTATTGCCGATATGCATAGAAATATTACTGTGAAAGTTTTTTCCGATCGGTGCAAAATTGGTCATAGCTCCCATACAAGGTCCCCTCCCGAAAATCACTTAAACGCGCATAACTCATTACTAAATTAAGATATCCATACAAAATTTGGTATAAGTATTGCCCATATGCATAGAAATATTACTGTGAAAGTTTTTTCCGATCGGTCCATAATTGGTCATAGCTCCCATACAAGGTCCCCTCCCGAAAATCACATAAACGCGCATAACTCATTACTAAATTAAGATATCTATATAAAATTTGGTATAAGTATTGCCCATATGCATAGAAATATTACTGTGAAAGTTTTTTCCGATCGGTCCAAAATTGGTCATAGCTCCCATACAAGGTCCCCTCCCGAAAATCACTTAAACGCGCATAACTCATTACTAAATTAAGATATCCATATAAAATTTGGTATAAGTATTGTCCATATGCATAGAAATATTACTGTGAAAATTTTTCCGATCGGTCCATAATTGGTCATAGCTCCCATACAAGGTCCCCTCCCGAAAATCACATATACGCGCATAACTCATTACTAAATTAAGATATCCATATAAAATTTGGTATAAGTATTGCCCATATGCACAGAAATATTACTGTGAAAGTTTTTTCCGATCGGTCCATAATTGGTCATAGCTCCCATACAAGGTCCCCTCCCGAAAATCACATAAACGCGCATAACTCATTACTAAATTAAGATATCCATATAAAATTTGGTATAAGTATTGCCCATATGCATAGAAATATTACTGTGAAAGTTTTTTCCGATCGGACCAAAATTGGTCATAGCTCCCATACAAGGTCCCATCCCGAAAATCACTTAAACGCGCATAAATCATTACTTAATTAAGATATCCATATAAAATTTGGTATGAAAATTGCCCACATGCATAGAAATATTACTGTAAAAATTTTTTGGGTCGGTTCAAAATTGGTCATAGCTCCCATACAAGGTCCCCTCCCGAAAATCACTTAAACGCGCATAACTCATTACTAAATTAAGATATCCATACAAAATTTGGTATAATTATTGCCCATATGCATAGAAATATTACTGTGAAAGTTTTTTCCGATCGGTCCATAATTGGTCATAGCTCCCATACAAGGTCCCCTCCCGAAAATCACTTAAACGCGCATAAATCATTACTTAATTAAGATATCCATATAAAATTTGGTACAAGTATTGCACATATGCGCAGAAATATTACTGTGAAATTTTTTTCCGATCGGTTCATAATTGGTCATAGCTCCCATACAAGGTCCCCTCCCGAAAATCACTTAAACGCTCATAACTCATTACTAACTATAAAGTTTGGCAGAAGTATTGCTCATATACAGAGAAATATTACTGTGAAATTGTTTTCCTATCGGTCCATTGATCATAGCTGCTATACAAGGTGCCTTTCAGAAAACACTTAAAGGCACATAACTCATTAGGAAATAGTGATACCCATAAAATATTTGGCATTAATACTATTTTTGTACACATAAATGTTATTTCAAAATTTTTTCACGATTAGTCTAACCTTGGTCATAGCTCCCATATAAGGTTCCCTCCCGAAAATCACTTAAACGCACATAATTCATTACCAAATATTGATATCGTACATTTAGCAAAATTATTGCTCTTATATACATAAATTACACTATAAAATTGTTTTACGATCGGTCCATATTTGGTCATAGCTCTCATACTAGGTCCCCTCCAGAAAATCACTTAAATGCACAATATTCATTACCAAATAATGATATAGATAAAGAATTTTGAAATTTTGTTTTTATATATAATTCGTCATAGCTCTCATACAAGGTCCTTTTACGAAAATCTCTTAAACGCACATTACTCATTACCAAATAAAGCTATTGATACAAAATTTGCCACAAATATTAGTTTTGTATACAAAAATTCTATTTCAAGATTTCTCACGATCGGCTCATAACATGGGTGCGGTCTGTCCCATACAAGGTTCCCTTACGAAAATCACTTAAACACACATTACTTATTACTAAATTACGATATAGATATAAAATTTTACTGAAATATAGCTTTTATGTACAGAAATTTAGCTTAAAGAATTTTTTACGATCGGACTATAATTGGCCATATCTAGGTCCTGCCCCTGAAAGCACTTTAACCGTATTTAACTAGTTGCATTATCAATTTGTGTAGAACAAAATTATATATATGTATTTTGAAAATCCTTTAATTTTCACACACATGCATACATGCAAATTCCTAAATATCGCTAAGCGCTATAAAAATATAAAGAAAATTGCGTTTGTAATGTTCAATAAATCTTGGAATTGTAATAGATTTATTTCTACAAATATTTGACCAATTAGAAAATTCTTAATATAAAAGTAGCTGGTGGAGGGTATTTAAGATTCGGCTCAGCCGAATTTAGCACTCTAACTTGTTTTGAATTTTGATCGCCAACAAACCAGAATGAAATGCTATAATTATTTATGGTGGCTCTTCTCTTTCTGTTATTATATTCATACAATTAATATAATTAATATGCACTGCAGGTTTTTATTTATGATCATTACTCAAGTTGATTTCAATTACAACAAAACTGGGTTTGGCTTAAACTTTAAGCATAAAAGAAAGTTTGCATGTGTAAGACAAGTTTATTGTGTGATTGGCTCTTGTGTGACTTAGAGGTGCAAATGGTTCAAAAAACATTTACAGTTTTTAGACTAGTCTATAAACTAGACAATAGCCAAGACTACAACTAGACTATAGACTAGTATTTAGACTAGACTATAGACTAGACTATAAACTAGACTATAGACTGGATTATAGACTAGACTATAGACTAGGCTATAGAACTAGACAAGACTATAGACTAGACTATAGACTAGACTATAGACTAGACTATAGACTAGACTATAGACTAGACTATAGACTAGACTATAGACTAGACTATAGACTAGACTATAGACTAGACTATAGACTAGACTACAGACTAGACTATAGACTAGACTATAGACTAGACTACAAGACAGAGACTAGACTAGACTAGACTATAGACTAGACTAGACTAGACTAATAGACTAGACTATAGACTAGACTATAGACTAGACTATAGACTAGACTATAGACTAAGACTAGACTATAGACTAGACTATAGACTAGACTATAGACTAGACTATAGACTAGACTATAGACTAGACTATAGACTAGACTATAGACTAGACTATAGACTAGACTATAGACTAGACTATAGACTAGACTATAGACTAGACTATAGACTAGACTATAGACTAGACTATAGATAGACTATAGACTAACTATAGACTAGAACTATAGACTAGACTATAGACTAGACTATAGACTAGACTATAGACTAGACTATAGACTAGACTATAGACTAGACTATAGACTAGACTAGACTACTAGACTAGACTATAGACTAGACTATAGACTAGACTATAGACTAGAATATAGACTAGACTATAGACTAGACTACAGACTAGACTATAGACTAGACTATAGACTAGACTACAGACTAGACTATAGACTAGACTACTATAGACTAGACTATAGACTAGACTATAGACTAGACTATAGACTAGACTATAGACTAGACTATAGACTAGACTAGCTAGACTATAGACTAGACTATAGACTAGACTATAGACTAGACTATAGACTAGACTATAGACTAGACTATAGACTAGACTATAGACTAGACTATAGACTAGACTATAGACTAGACTAGACTAGACTATAGACTAGACTATAGACTAGACTATAGACTATAGACTGGACTATAGACTAGACTATAGACTATACTATAGACTAGACTATAGACTATACTATAGACTAGACTATAGACTAGACTATAGACTAGACTATAGACTAGACTATAGACTAGACTATAGACTAGACTAGACTATAGACTAGACTATAGACTAGACTATAGACTAGACTATAGACTAGGACTATAGACTAGACTATAGACTAGACTATAGACTAGACTATAGACTAGACTATAGACT